TGTTTGACCTTGGTTATTCTCAATATTTGCATTAATTACCATAACTGATCGAGGATGTATTTTTATCACTTCATCCACACTTAACAACATCCTGTTTTGTAAGAAACTAAGTTTAGCACCTAACTGTTTTAAAATATCAACTCCTATGATTCCATCATAATCTAAGAGTAAATCATTATCCACAACATGAAATTTACACTCGCAGTTTCCAATTTTTATTATGCAAGTGCCTAAGGTTTCTCTAATTTCATCGGTTATGCCCTTATATTTGACTATCTCTTTATTATTAATAAACAATCTCTTGGAATGACGGTTATTGCTACCTTTTATTATCATGCTAACATCTGATCCACTATCAACAAGAAATTTAAGGCTATCCTTTTTATTTATTTTAATAATTTCATATATTTTCGTATTAAATGTAATGCCCTTAGAATAAGCATTATAATCATCTCTTTTATTCTCATATAACTCCACCTTATCTTTGTAAAAGTCTAACTCCGCTTTTAAAAATCTCAATAAGTCAACTCCAATAAGTCCATCAGCGTCCAAGAACGATGACGAAACTTCATCAATAACATGAAATTTGACTTTAAAATTATCTATATCTAAGGTGTAAGTACCTTTAATTAACTGATAATCACCTATTAACCCTTTGTACTCTATCTTTTCATCATTATTAATTCTTCTCTTATCAATTTTAGAATCTTTAATTAAACTAATATCTGAACCGTTATCAATCAATAATTTTACCTTAGTATCCTTATTTAAGGTAAAGTCTACATACAGTTTTTTATTATCTACCTCATTAATTATTCTCGCAATATGATCCTTAAAATCAGGATTACTCCTTTTAAGTTTATCTTCAATTATTCCCTTATAAATGTTTTTAGAATCGATTTTAAAGTTACTGTTTAATACCTTGGCATCTTTTTTAATAGTACTCGAGACGTACTCGGTTTATTATACGACCTTGGTTTCGAATTACTTTGATAATTTTGGAACGATTGTTTTTGTGGACATTCTTGAACTTTATGACCTAATTGATCACATAAAAAACATTTTACGGGACGAAATTGTTTATTATTATCATTTCTCCTATCCTGATTTTTCCTATAATTAAACTCTTGGTTTTGGAATGAATGAACATTAAATACACTTTTGTGACCATAATCTAAAGTATAATTTCTTTTATTACCAGAGCTGTAATGAAAATTTTGATCACGGGAGTTATCTGACTGAAAGTTTTTATTAAAATTTTGATTAAATCTAGGTCTAAAATAATTTTGATTACTTTGATTTGAATTTTGGTTATATAAAACGTTGTTCGGTTTAGGTCTCGTGCTGTTTTGACCCATCTTATTAGAAAAAAATTGTACAGCTTCCCTATCATTTATCAAAGCGCGTTCTTCTATTATCGCTAAATCTATAGCCCTTTCTAAAGTCTCTACATTCCTAGATTTAACTATCATTTTTAATGGTTGTTGTAAACCTTCAATAAAAACATTTAATGCTTGTTGTTTCAACAAAGCAACAATTTCTCCAGCTATTTCATCATTTTTCCCTTCTACTGAACTTTCTACTAAACCGTTTAGTAATTTCTCAATTTTTTGTGAAAAATCAGCTACTCTCTCATTACGTCCCTGTCTACACGAATTTAATTCAAGTTGTAAATTAGCATTTGATCTTTTTTCTAAATATATATCTTCCAAAAATTCACGTAAATCTTGCCAATTATTAAAAATTCTATATTTTATCGCGTTTCTGGCTCTACCCTTAATTTTTGAAAAATAAGAAATCTCAGAGACGATGAAAAAATATTTAATTTTTATTTTCGGTGCTACACGTGTTTCGATCGAACTATGCGATCTTCATCTGGCACGACTAGAGACAAATTAATTTTATTACTTAATAAATTACTTTATAAATTAATAAACTTAATATAAATAAATAAACTTAATAAATTAATTTTACTTAATTTTTGTTTTTAATATAATATTGAATAACAAATTTTTTGATCGTGGATGAATAGAATTAAGAGCTAAATCACAAGACTCTATGAAATAATTTAACAGTTCTCTATTGGTTCCATCAAATTCAGCTACTAGTCTAACAGCCGTTTCTAATTTTAAACAATCCTCATCAACTTCCTCGTTAACATTCTCTAATCTGTCTTCCGCCATATTTATTTATTAAACAAATTCAAAAAGAAACAATAAAAGAAAAATATTAACCTAACCTTTATTTTTCTTCTCACACAAAGTCTTTAATCCGGTCCTGAACAGCGGCCTACGTGATCTCAACTCGGCACCTCGTTGTCTGCTCAGCAATCCTGGACTACGTCTTCTGGTTTGTTCCTTTTCTTTGTTCTCTTTTTTTTTTTTTTCGTCAGCACTCTATTTTCCAACACTTGCCAATTTATCCAACTTTAGATTTTTCTTCTCTCCAATTTTCTCCAGATACTTGTCCAAAATATATCAGTGTTATCCCACCGCTGCCACCAAATTTGTTGTGCTCCTATCCAGCACAGAATGGGTTCTTGAGTTGGTGTCCGCAAATAAAACTCAGAGTGACCTTTTCTTGTATTTTATTGGTAATTATAATGAACAACGATGACACAGACGACGATTTTACAGACGGCGGACGATGTGATTAAAATTATATGAAGACGGACGACGGATGATCGGAAGATGATTAAAGAACGATGATAAAGTGTAACTTATTCACTAATTAATTAACACGTTGATGTGGCTTTTCTTATTTTACGACGATCAAGACGAGAAACAAAAGAATGTCCCTGAAACTAGCGCTCGCTCTCTATTTCTGCTCTCGGTACGCCTACACAGTTTTATTACTTATCTTCTACTTCAATGGTCACGTACAGTCCGACCCGAGTGACTTTGTCATAAGCTTTCTTAGTTTTATACTGATACGTTAGCACATTCTTACATTATCTACGTGAGAAAATAATATAAAATATAAAGGAGAAATACAGGGGTTATAACATATATATATATATATATAAGAATATAAGTACCGTAAACAGTGGCCGGTTTTGTTAAAAATATTTTTGTGATTTTCCGTATAAGTAAGGGTAACTTTTGATTTGTGTTATAAATTTTTCCGTTAATTATTGTTGATTAATTGTTAATTACTCCACCGTTCTTTAACCGATTTTATCCGTTCAAAGACAATAATTATGTAATTTTGTGTCCCGCATCCGATAGCGCCGTCAGAATTTTGCAATTTTTGTTAATTAGCTCCGCGCATTGTAAATTAGTGTTTGATAACTTGTACTGATACGATCCCCCACGCGGAAAAATCCAGTTTGCGAAAACTGGGGCGACCCAAAATGGTATAAATAGCCGGCCAAAATTCTGATTTTTAACAGTTCTTCATCAGTTCTACGACAGTTTCAAGTTTAGGATGTCATGTTGCTCCTTTTAGGATGTTGCTCCATTTAGAATGTCTGTTGCTTCTACTGGCAAGTGTTGTTTGACTGGAAAATGACATTAACAAGAAATTGTATTTAATTACTATGTTGTACTTAATTAAATATTTACCTATACACCTCCTCGACTTAAGAGTTTCAAATTGATTGGCAGATAACTTCTTCCGGGCTGAAGTTTGGAACTGATTGGTGTTGAAAAGGCGTTCACTGTGATAACTCCATAAGATCCTCCCCATTCTTTCCAACCATTGCTGCTGCAGATCGTCTTATCTTAGAAAGCAGAACTGTTGTTAATTTACTTTACTTATTTATATATAATTATATTATGTGAGGATAACAACATAAGAAAAGTTATTATTAATTACTTATGTTGAATCTGGTTGAATTGTATGATTCTGGTCATGATTTATAAATTACAAGCTTAAGAACTTATTAAAAATTTTATCAACTTATCGGAGACATAATTATTTATTTAATAATTATTTGCTAATAAAAAAATTAATAAGATTTTAACCCCTCATTTATTTACAATCAAATAATATTTATTGTAACCCTATATTCTGTGGAGTAAATGAGTGGCCTAACCACTTCAAAATATTTTATTTATATAACAATTAATTACTCGAATTAGCTAAAAGCATAATCACACAAATCAATCATAAATCAATAAATCATAATCGCTAAAGTCACATAAATTAAATATCTACTAATCTTTCTAAGTTAATTTTTATTATATTATGAACATCTGACGGGATTATAATTATATATTTGCTAGGATAATCTTATACTTACTGCGATTGCAGGCATAATTACACAGAGATTAACTTTCACTACTATTATAACACAATAATGTTATATATAGAAACGTAGTTTAACTAAAACTTGAGCTAAAACTTGGATACGAAGCCACGAAGCGAAGCAAACAAGTCAAGCAAGAAGCAGTATACTAACGACAAAGATGGCGGAGACACGCTGAAGGTTACGAAAATTCGAGACACGAATATTAAAGGAACCGCCGTTACTGTCATTTCTGTATTGTTCTGTGCCTAAATGATGTTTATCTCTTTCTCGCATTTGAGCGAGGAGCAGGGGATGCAAAGGTGATACTCCTATCATCAACGGGGGAATTTTAAAAGCGCAAATGTGTATATAAATTTCCAACAATTTTTTTAACAATGAGTTTGTTCGAAAATATTAAAAAAAAATAACGGTAATTATATTTTTATACAAACTTTCGGAAAATATAATAAAAACAATCGTATATGACCCCATTGAGATTCATTGCCAATATTTAATATGAAAATCCCTAAAACTTACTAGACTTTTGACCGCCATATTGGCATTTCAGCTAATCACAGAGCGCAAAATATGGGATAAACCTGCTCCAGAACTCTCCTTCTTATACTACATTTTAATTACAAACAATTAATTTGAACAGCTCTTGTCTAGTATTTATTATAACTAAGTAATACAAAACAAGTGTCAGATAATGAATCAGCAATATTTGTATATAAATGAAGTGATTTGTATATCTTCATCGATGATTATATTACTTCGGTTTGTTTGTTTTACGAAGGTGATGGTCCATATACGATGATAATTTTAGAAGAGTACTATTACACTAAAAAAGAAACAGCGATTAAAAATACTTTCAACACAAGACATGTTAATGACGCTGTATAAGTAATAAAAGTGATAATAAAAGCATACCTACTGTTATAGAATGTATGCATTTTGATTCTTTTATTTAACCCTAGGATACTTAACCAATAAAATATCGTCATTTACATAATCCGGGCTTCTGAGACCCCTTATATAAAATCACGTGTAGTCAGAACAAAAACAAAGTTATTGAAGTAAAACTTTATTTATTTATACATATGTACGTTACAAACGTGAGGTTAAATATGAAAGTGAACATTATCGCTAAAAACACATTATTGTTTATAGTTTTTCGGAATTAGAGAAGCATTTAGTGCACATTTTAATACTATGCTCATTACAGATATTATTTTTACAAGTAATACATATCATTGTGCTTTTACGATCAATACTTGCGGGACATACTGAGCATCTTTTTTTCTTAATTGTTGCACTTGTGTGAGCGGCTGGGGGACCACATATATCAATAAATCTGCTCATACACTCCCGGACAGTACGCCGTAGGTTAGGGTTAGTAGATCTTCTCAGCATATGTGGTATCACTAGTTCCTTCGCTAAATCTTTCAAAAACATTCTGCGTTTGTGAGTCACTCCTATGTTGTAGTTTGGATGTTCCTTCGTAAAGACTATATATGCATTGAGTGCTGCAACATCAATGATGTTGAAGAAAAATGTCATGGGCCATCGTTTACTTTGCCTCTTGCACGTGTATGTCGACACCATTTGATCCATGATGTCAACGCCGCCCTTTGTTTTATTATAATGAGAGATGATTTCAGGCTTCCTCTTAGCGTCGTCATTGATAGATGCGTCGTGGTGCATGGTGCTTAGTAAAATTAAGCATTTGTTATTTTTACGTGCGTAACTTACCATGGATACGTTATTTTGAAAGCAAAACAATGAAGAGTAGACTACACGATGTTTTGAGGCTTTCATTTCTTTCGGAATGTCACGCTTATTCTGACGTAGTGTACCCACAAGAGTTTCTACTACTTCAAGCCCCATGTTTTTATGTGGAGGTTCTCCGGGCTGGCGACCAACATAAACTAAACCATCCAAACCATAACCAGACGTAGATTCACACATCCAAAATATTTTAAGTCCATATTTTGCCGGTTTACTTGGCATATATTGAACGAATGTTCAGCTACCTCTAAACCCAACGAGTTGTTCATCAATAGTTACATTAGTATCAGGTATGATGCAGGTTTTGCATTGATGAATGAATAAATCCCAAATGTAGGACACCATTGCTAACTTATCGGTTTCCAAACGCGCATTCCGGGTTCTCTTGTCGTCAAATCTGACGAATCTTCGTATTTCTTCAAAGCGAAATATGGACATTGTGGCTCGGTATACAGGATTGGCAAATTCATCACAAAATAATTCTCTCTCAGGAACATCCCAGCTTCTGTCAACTCCCGCATGAATAAGTAAATCACAGATGCAAGAAATTCATCAACAGTTACATCTTTCCACGGTTTTCCTTTTGCTCCATAAACAAGTTTGCCCTCTAAATTAGTACAGTTCACAATTTCTTCTACTATAACTGGAGTTACAAATAACTGAAACGCTTCTTTTGGTGTTGCAGCCATATGTTTCCTTGCTAGTCCTAGCGCACGCCGAATAATGTTGTGTGGTTGAATTTTATTTTTTGCTGGAGGTTCCAAACTCCATACCAGACCACTTGAAGCAATGTAACCGCTCGTTGAAGGCTTACCAATATCATCAACTTCATCCTCTGAATTATCAATTCTACCTTCTGTGTCATCATTTTCTGCTTATGAGACATCACTTTCTTCAGAAGACATCATCACATTCAGCTGCCCACTGCACCAATATTTCTTCATAAACGGGGTCACCAAATCTCATGCAAATCAACTACAACTATTAAAACCGATCATCGACCTTTAATCACGATTTTTGAAAAACCTCTATTAAGTATACCCAAGACTTCAGAAAATGTTGATGACTCTACAACGATATAACATAAAATTAAAATTTGTATCTAGTAAGGAGAATGTAATTGCTGATACTTTATCGAGAGCTCCCATAAACTCTAAATTGGAATCAAATGATATAAATTTATCTACGGTATATCAGATTTCTGAAAAGAAAATTTGCAAATATTTGGAACAAGTAAACCTTTCAAATCAGGTGTTTTTCGGAAGAAAGAATGGAAGAAATAAAGAAGGAAACAGGATATTTATATAGATATATAGATATTGTATATACTAAACAGGATTATTGTTTACAAGCAATAAAAAATTATATAATGTCTGGATGGCCAAACACAATTCATCAACTATCAGATGAAGTAAAACGTTACAATCCCTACAAATATGAGTTAACTTACCAAAATGGAATAATTTATAGAAACGATCGAATAGTGATACCATTTGCTTTACGAAAGAAAATTTTAGATAAGCTTCATATTAGTCACAACGAATTGGAAGCGATTATAAACTTAGCTAAGCGCAACATCTTTAGGCCAGGGAAAAAAAATAATAAAAATAAAAAATAATAATAAAAAATAAAATTAAAGAATACGAAACATGTATTAAATTCTCGACAACCCAATGTAAGTTATCGATGCAAACTCATGTTATCCCCGAGTTTCCATTTCAGTATGTTTCTATGGACATTCTAACAACAGAATACAAGGAAAAGAAAAATATTTTCTCGTGACAGTCGACCACTATTCTGACTACTTTGAAGTTGACATTTTAAAGGATTTATCATCTAAGAAGTTAATTGAAATCTGCAAACGAAACGTCAGTACACATGGAATACAGCCAAGAATCTGTACGGATAATGCGATGAATTTTGCTAGTGCAGAATTTCAAAAATTTGTCAACGGTTGGGACAGATGTCATATAACTTCGTCACCACACTATCCTCCGACAAACGGCAAAGCGGAATCGACTGTGAAAATTGCAAAGAAATTAATAAAAAAGACCGAGAACAATAAAGAAGATTTATGGCTTGGTTTATTACATCTAAGGAACATACCAAACCACATTGAAAGTAGCCCTGTTCAGAGATTGTTCTCTAGAACCACACGAATGTTAATACCTTCAGCAAAAATTAAACACCTGAAATAGTAAAAAATGTAAAGGAAAGCATAGAAAAAAATAGACAAAAAACCAAACAGTATTATGATAAAAATAGTAAACACTTGCCGCAACTGGAGATAGGTCAGCCAGTGGCTACTCAACTACAAGCAGAAAAATCTAAACTATGGACATCTGGGAAGATAGAAGAAAAGCTTAGTGACAGATCATATATAGTTAACGCAGATCTTAGCAAATACCGTCGTAGTTTAATTCATATTAAACCAATACCTAAAGAAATTACTTCAGAGAAGACAATTCCGAAAAGCTCTGTCACAGATACTCAAGATAGAAGACAAGAAGAACTAGATGTTGAAGAACACACGAAAGAAAACCGAAGAATGGAAACACAAGAAGAACGGAAGCAAGATGGATTTGTTGATGTGAATAAAGAAGCAAAAGATTTGACGATTTCCAAATCAGAGAAGACAAAGGAACTAAGAAAGAAGACTACTAAGAAGGAGTCAGTTACCAGCCTATTGCCACGTCCGAAGAGAGTTATTAAAGTACCAACTAAGTTTAAAGATGACGTAAAATAAATAACTAAATTATATTAAAAAAAAGCATGTTATAGAATGTATTCATTTTTAGTAACTTTCATGATATCGAGGTTGGCAACAGCAAAAGGAAGGCCAGACAAAAAAGGTGATTAAGAAAAGCATCTTGTACGTTGTTGTTGTAAAAGTTATATTGTAACAGTAAAATAGAAATAAAGGATTCTTTTATTTAAAAAACAATTTCTATTAACGTGTTTTGTGATACGTTAACACCTACTACAAAAAAAAATGTAGTATAAAAATTGCAGACCGAAATTCTAAATTTCTTGTAGCGTGCTATGGCACGCCAACTAGTTATGAAGGGTGTCCCTCAGAAATGGCTTATCGCCATATTTTTTTATTATTAGTGATGTAAGAAAACCATTTGGATTGCATAATTAGGCCGTTAAAACGGATTATTACGAGATGAAATCATTCTCTTTGTGCTTCCGGTTATACCGAATGTGAATACTAATCTCGTTTTTTTTTAAATTTCATATTTTATTTTCTTCAGTTGGGTAGACAGCATAATTTCACATAACTTTTACCTGAAAAAATTTTCACGATCGCTTATAATTTTTGAAAAAGAAATTATATTTGTTATTTTTTAACGTTTTAGTACCTTTGGAAAATATATAGCAACTTTTGACGGATAGTAGTTAGTTCAATAGTGTAAGCTATTTCTCGAGCAGTGATCCCTGCTATGCTTTAGTCGGTGGTTCTTCTTTAATAATGGTGTAACTTAACAGTTGTATTAAATTAGTTTTAAAAGAAAAACGCGAACAAACAATTGAGTTTAATTCAATTATTTTTGATCTTTTATTTTTTGTTCTTTTACACTAAATGTTCTGTAGCTAATAGTAACTTACAATGTACAATGTCCATTGAACATTATAATTTGAGTATTTACTTTATTTTGCGTAAAACCTTCCAGGTCACCTGACCTCACACCTTTAGATTCTTTTTTATGGGACATAATCAATAATGAGGTATACAGGGTGTGTCAAATGTCTGGAATATAGCCAATAACTTCGCCATTTGTGTTTCAAACAAATAATAAATAGAAATAAAAAATTCTTTATTAGTAGTAGCGCATTTTTTGACGATAATTGCTTGTTTATATTGTTCTTTGTTTCGTTGCTATGGCAACCACCACTGTTATTTTAAACGGGATGCATATATTTCTTTTGCATACTTTTGTAGAGAATAAGTCCCTCTATGCGATGAACATATCAAATCATATGGTTGTATAGGAAAAAAAATCGAGAAAAGTTGCGTTTTTTGAAAGTCTTAAATCAGCTAATTACAATCAAAGTAGAAGCCGAAATAACGCCGTTAACAGCTTTAAATGTCAAAAAAATTACAGTTTCAATAATTAGCTGATTTAAGACTTTCAAAAAACATATATATGCATTCCATTTAAAATAACAATGTTGGTTGCCATAGCAACGAAACAAAAAACAATACAAACAAGCAAATATCACAAAAAAAAACGACATGATTAATAAAGAAACTTGTATTTGAAACATTTTTCTTTAGAACCACAAATGGCAAAGTTATTGGCTATATTCCAGACATTTCACACATCCTGTATACACTTGGAACGTCTCGTGAGGCATCAGAAAATCGAGTTAGAAATTGTATTACCCAAATATCTCCGCAGAAATTACGTCGTGTTGTTAGATCGACAATACGCAAGATATAATTATGTATGTCCAAATCGACGCCGGGGCATTTTAAAAATTTAGAAAATTCGTGTTTTGAACTTATAATTGAATTAAATTTAATTGTTTATTCGCGTTTTTCTTTTAAAACTAATTTAATATAACAGTTAAGTTACACCATTATTAAAAAACATCCACTGACTAAAGCAAAGCAGTGATCACTGCACGGGAAATAGCAAATCAAGAGGAACATAGCGTAGTTTATACTATTAACCTGCGGCAAAAATTGCAGTATATTTTCCAAATTTTTTTTCAAAAATTATAAGCGATCAAAGTGCAAGCAAAAATTAATGGTGCACGTGACTGTTAAACTAATAAACTATAATTATGAGATTTAAAAACACCACTAATTGAAAATAGATAAATGATTTCATGGTGAACTTTGAAGATAAACGGTGTATGTAGTAGAAGGTTTTGCAAAATCTGGGATATACTTACAAAATCATCACGGCTGGAAATATCTAAAGTTTTTGGATCAAAAGCACCCCATTGTAGAAACAATATGATATTTGCAATGAATCTAAAATGTTTAAGATACGAATAAAGTTCGAGAAGCATATTCGACGAATAAATTTCTTACCGTCCTTTATATTTGGTGTTATCAAGGAAAATTGGTTTGATTTCCACACCATCCAAAAGCTTACCTAGAACGGTTCGGACAAATATTACAACAGTAACCATCATCGTATACGAAAGTATACGAAAAATAAAAAACATTACCATATAAACTTTTTTCACATCTTATAGCATCTATTCTTGACATGAATTGAATTGTCGCAAACGTTTCATGTTTTGTGATGTTACAAATGCATTTCTCTTCATTCGTTACAAATTTTATGAAGTCATTATTCCCAATTTTATTTGTTAAATGCAGAACAAGAACCACAAAATCCTAAAAATATAATTATTGTTTATAACAAGAAGTTGTATGCTAATATTAGTAATTAAAATTATTTATATTAAACGGGCACTATAGCAGTAACATTTAAAAAAATTTTACCTGGTTGAAGTCGGGTAATGGGCACGCCCATTCAAAGAACAAATTAGATCCCATAATCGAAATCCTTGACGGCCAAAGTAATTTGCGAACATCCGCAGCCTTTCGATGGGTGGCAAATTTGACGAAGCCTACACCGAGATTTTTTTCGTCATCACATGGGTTTGGAAAGATTAGCACCTCTGCATCACCATTAAAAAGTGTTGTTATTATCTCCTTAGCTTTTTTCGCAGGTAGTGTTGTCGGTAAACCTTCAAAATACAACCTTGAGTTGTCCAGCGACATATAGCAAGCCAACCTAATTCAAAAACACAGTAATCATAATTTATTTCATATTGATACACATATTGATACACTTAAATTATAAATTTCATACAAATCATTATCATATAAATTTAACGAAAACATTTTGAGTAATAATTTTGGTATTAGATTCAAACATCCAACGAGAATAGAATAAACGAATATATTCGCGAACATTGAAACCAATAAGTTAAATGGAGTTAGTACGAAAAGCAAAACAAAAATATAGTAGCTATTCGCGACTGAGCATCACAAATGCAAAGTAAGCTTCTCTGCAGAAACACAAGCTTTTTTAATTAGTTAAGATTAGTTAAAGTTATAAAGAATTGTCTTCACAATTTTAGTATTTTGTTCCAAGTTACAGATTAACGTTGAACTATATTTTTTAAAGTTAAAATAAAATAGGTGTAAACGGTAAATGGTAATACATTGTTATTAACAAATTGTCTTTTAAAAAACACTTAAAGACCTTCAAGAATAGAAGCTTTCAATTTTTTTTTAGTCTCCAATTAGTTATTGCGTACATGCACAGTACTTCGAAAACTTCAGTCTAGATCAATTTAGATAAAAATAGTAACTATTTCAAAATCGTTATAAGTTTGGGAAATATTCGATATTAAAGAAACAATGTTTCTCCGTTTCAGAGAAACAGCGCGTTTTCAAGTTTTCTTTTCATTAAGATGTAATTAATTTGAAACATTTTGTTCATTCTTTACTCATAACAGTAATATAACAATGGATTTAATGGACTAATACGAGGGAGGGTATGTCCGTTATACAGGGTGTATCTGAAACAATAAACTTGAAAACTGCAACAAACTTCAAGGGGTGATTCTTTAGTGAATTTTTAAGGTACTTTGATATATGAACCATGGGCGACTTCGGCTCCCCTAAGGAGCTACACCCCTCTAAAAATGGCCGAAAATTTTGGTTTAATTTTTCTTTCTCAAGAACCATAAACGCTAGGAAAATGAAATTTGAGGAATATGTTTAAGTCATAATAGGGCACGTTTTGACCCTATTTGTACTTTTAACCTACCCTTCTAAACTACTAAACGTAACCACTCCCTTTACATTTTTGGTAAAATTTTTTTTATACAGATGTTAAATACATTAGAAAAATTTTACATAGGTAGATGAAAGTATCCTAAATCATTTTTGTCTCTCTAAAATTTTTCCAAAAACGATTAATTTTTGAGAAAAAAAAATAATAAAGCAAGCACTGCCCGTTAAACAACGCAGTTGTCGATCAAAAGTTGGAATGAATTTTAATGAAAAAATCTTAGTAGGCTTTGCAATCTTTGCCAGAAATATTTTGGATGTTTAAATGTCAGGTTTTCTTACTATTATTATTGATTTTCAAATTAATTTTTAAATAAAGTTCTATCGTAAGAAAACCACTGATATTTCAACGTCAAAATGTTAATGATAAAGATTGCAAAGCCTACTAAGATTTTTTCATTAAAAATTCATTCCAACTTCCGATTAACAACCCTACAGCTTAACAGTTAGTGTTTGCTTAATTATTTTTTCTCTCAGAAATTATAAAATTTTAGAAGACATCAGAGACAAAAAAGTTTTAGAATAGTTTTATTTATCTAACTGATAATTTTCTAATGTATTTATCATCTTCATAAAAAAAATCTAGGCACAAATTGAACGGGGGTGGTTACGTTTAGTAGTTTAGAAGGGTAGGTTGAAAGTACAAACAGGATCAATACGTGCCCTATTATGAGTTAAACATATTCCCCAAATTTCATTTTCCTAGCGTTTATGGTTTTTGAGAAAAAAAAATAAACCAAATTTTCCGCCATTTTTGGAGCGGTGTAGCTCCTTAAGGGAGCCGAAGTCGCCCATGGTTCATATATCAAAGTACCCTTAAAATTCACTAAAGAATCACCCCTCGAAATTTGTTGCAGTCATTCAGATACACCCTATATAAAAATATGGTCCTGAATACAGTTTTTAGGATGGTATGAAAAATTTAATACTTAATAACATTATTTTCTATCAACACAAAATAAAAAAATAAATAAAATAAAAATATAAAAAAACGTGGTTTGTATCAAGTCTGGGAATGCTCCTTGTTCCACCCAATGTATTAATATAGAGTGTGTATAAATTGGCGGAAAAGCTATACGTGACGCCATTCTTCGTTTGATTCTGAAATGAAAAACTTTATACAAAAATGTTATATCGTGCTTTCTGTGGTTTCAGGAGGCACTTAAAAGAAACATAAATATGTGGACAAAACTGTGTTTGTGTACAACTGTCAGGTACCGTAATATTATCTAAAATGCCATCTACGAATACATTTTCTCGTCTTCATCGTAAAATACTAATCAAAATTAGAATTTTATTAATTAAATTCATTGTGAATCATTTAATTCCTTAATTTTAAATGACTTCTGACTGACAAAACTGTAAATGAAATTCTATGTTGTCAAGTGGTTAGATTTTCTTATTTTTTAAGAAAATTTTCATAAATTTATTCTACATAGTAATAATTTTTTGATCCGAATTGTAGGTGTTTTCAGGTCCATATATTTGGATTTGGATCTATGAAGAATGAGAAAAAACACTTAACTAATATTTTTGAATGCACTACAAGTGTATTTAACGTCATCAAAATCGATAGGGTGGTTTTTAAATAAAGCCGAAAAAATAGGGGTAGTTCGCCCCCTTTTAACCCTCTGGTATATGTGTGATACATCAAAAGAAAGCTCTTTTAAAATAAATATCAGCTACAATTTATGAAATTTTGATAGCACTTTTCGTTTTCAAAATATGAGTGAAAACGTACTTTTTCTCCAAACTTTCAACCCCTATAACTTGCCCCAGGAGCTTTTACCGCACGTATAAAAAAATGCGCGAACCTTATTTTGGCCCATTCTATGACTATACCAAATTTCATCGAAATCGGTGAGACGCAGTCGTGACACTTCCCTTGTAAGATGCTGTTCAATCCGTCTATTGATTGTTTCACAACATTTTAATAGTTATGACAGTATATCAGATTGAGCTCCACTAATTTTATAGTAAACTACCCTATATTTATAGGAAAGGAAAACAAAAGCAATTAAAATTAATTAAAGCAATGAAAAACTTTTTTTTCTCGAAATTTGTAATACCTTGTGGGGTGCAACTGCTACAACAGGTGCTAACTGGAATCAAACGGTAGCCCAATCTTTTCTGAGCATCTTGTTTTTTTATTCACTCTATTATCTCTATTACTAACGAAGATGCAGTGTTTTAAAGCGAACGCCTGTAAAAACAAGACAAACAAGCATAAAAAATCTAAGGTGGCGCGCTAGGTAGCGTATGTCATTTGTTTCGAATAGTAAATTAACAGTTGTAAAAGATTTTTACAGTCTTTTAACATAATAGCAATCCCGTTGTCAGTAACTGATGTTACGCGTATTGTTACTTTAATTGAGGATGTCAAAAGTATATATCCATGTATGTATCTATCTCGAAATCGTGTTCTTCTAGTACAAGTCTAAATTTTGTTAAACGACTGGAAAGGTTTGCTAAACTAAATAAATAAATTAACGATTTATGGTCTATTACAATTTTAAATTTTGTTTGCCAAATAAGTAGGGCCTGAAGTGTTTGACTGCCACACTATAGCGACTAATTCTTTCTCTATAGTGCAATAGTTCTTTTCAGCTCTATTTAAACACCTACTCCCAAAAGCAATTGGTCTACCGTTTGAATTGTAAATGAAGATATAACGTGAACAAATCTTTTCTTCTTTCTAGAATTTTCACTAAATTTCTATTATGATTTTCTATAAATCATCTAAATAGATAAAGCATGAAATATAGTTTAGTCCAGACATAGTTAATGTCATTTTTCTTGAAAATGCACCAGGACTAGTTTTAAGTCCCATCGGCAAGCGTTTCATTTGATATTGTCCTGTCTGTTGTGAATGCTGTTATTGGTAGGATTTTTCGTCTATTTCTACCTGATGATATCCTCGTACTAAATCAAGGTGAGAAAAATATTGAGCTCCTGAAAGTGAATCCAAAATATCGGTAACATTTTTTTGGTAGCGGAAATTTATCACCTAAATTTGCTTATCCAACAAATCTGTAATCAATGACTACACGCTATTTTTTATTACCCGAAATATCAGCCTTTTTCGGTACAATCAAGACTGGAGAAGACCATTGACTTCTTGCCACCTCTATTACATCATTTCGTAGAATTTCTTGAATTTGTTTATGTAACTGGATCGACAAAGCACTCGTTGATTTTTTACTTAAGAGATGTGTTTCTATATCTCTAATAAATGATTCTACATTATGATACGTACTGTTGACCCTTAATTTTGCGTTTGGACATAACCTAGTTTTTAAAATGCATTGAATTAAGGTTGTTTTACCAGCCTCATCCAACAAACACGCATACATTTCTATTGCGCTAATTAATTGAGTTGTAACAGCTTCTGTATCGTCCATTAACGGAAGTATGGAAGCTACTGTTCTACTACCTCTAACTAACCCTTCGCCTACACCTAACTCAATTTTCTTTCTTCTATCTATCAATATATCCGTAACAATGTGTAATAAATGATCAATTTTTAATTTAAAATGTTCAAAGTTAACAGATTTACTTACTTATTTCCTTATCCTCTATTAATTCTTTAAATTTTTCTTCTAAAATATCTAACTTTCTAATTTTCCTAATTGTTAAATCTAAATTCGTTTTAATACACCAAAAATTTAATACACCAACAATTTCATCTAATTCTTCAATCATAATATTGTCTTTCTTCACACCTACGACTCAGCTACACGCAGTTCATCTTGCCTTATTCTAACTTCTTCTTAAACTATTGTTCTAACACCATAACACGCACGACGATATAAACAACGGCCAATGGTAAACACAAAAAAAACACACCAGCACAACAACACATATTTCTCCTCACTGGTACTTCCTATCAAATGGGTCTGCTGTGGATCCTCCGCTGTTACCCGCTTGAGCAATTATTACTTCTTCTTAAGTTTGCGTTGAGCCCATTTTTTCTTGACTTTACGTATATTTTTTACAGAAAAACCAAATGAATAGTAACGTAAGCAGGAGAGTAGCCCCAGTATAATTATAATAATTAAAACGAGTAATAATAATTGTTGAACTACTTCTTCTGCTCTCGGATTTCAAATAAAAGTTACTTTTTGACATTCTGAACAATGAATTTATTGAGGTTAATCACATGGTGTTCGTTCAACGTTCGGACAACAATTATATATTTAATTTTGCAATTCAAACGTTTATTAACCTTCGGTGCAACGACGTTCAATACGCAATACGAAGCGTCGAAAACATCTGAGTTTGCAATAATTGCAATGCTTACACTATCAATACTTAATCTTAACTTATTTTACCACCACAAATATTACGAAATATTAACATTAATTCTACAGAAGTTCTAGATCAACTAAAACATGTGTCACTGGATAATGAATGTAGGCTCATTTCATTCGACATATGCAACCTTTACACTAATATTCCCATACATGATGCTGTCAACATTATTAGAACATCTTTAACTGACCAACACAATGGTCAGTTGTGTTGCCAATGTTAAATGGAAATTATCTGTGAACAAAACTTTTTCATATTTGATAAAAAATTTACAGTTGAAAATGAAACTGATAATTCATCTCGTTTTTAGATATCAAAATCTCAAGAAACACGTCAAACAATACCCTTTATTTTAACGTTTTTAGAAAACGTTAAAATAGGAGGAATAATTTTTTTATTCCTCATAATTCTCATAACTGTTTGCAACACAAACAAACCAGTTTCCGCTTTCTCTTCAATAAATTAATCAAATTGCCTCTCAATAAAACCGCCTACATAACAGAACTTGAAAAAATTCAATAAATTCAACATAAAATTTGTTGTTAAAAATTGATTGTTCCCATCAGTAACCATCCAAATATAGATTCTACAGCCACAGGATCGTTTGGCCCTCCTCGTATACGTCCACCAGTGAGTATCTGGGGTACCAATTCGGCACCCAAAAGTAAATCTACTTCTTTTAGGTTTGATTTGAATTCCTTTTGAAAAGGTATATTCTTTAAATGATCATAAGCCTTCTGAATGGATTCATATGTTGGCTGATCTGAGCAGATGTTAGAGGTAATCACAGCATCAAAATCAAAAGAAATCTGAGAGTCATTACATGGCTGAACGTTGCATTTAATTGTTCCCTTATTGCAGAGCGATGACATAGAGTTCAGTCCTCGGATTTGTAATAAAGAATTTCGGGTACGAGGCAAACCCAATTTTCTGGCAAGTTTGGCGGTGACAAAATTAGACATACTGCCTGAATCAATTAGTGCACGAACGAGGTGTAATCTGTCAAATTGATCCTTGACGTACATGAAAGCAATCGGTAAAATTACTTGGTGGTTTAAGTCATTGTTGGGTTGATTAACATGACAAGCCGTAGTTCCGACGGGGACTGGTGATGGTTTACTTGATTCGAAATGCAGAGAAGTATGATGTTTTTGCTGGCAAACTTTGCAACGATGCGTCGATACACAGTTACTGGTCTGGTGAAATTTATTAAGACAGTTACGACATAGGTTGTTGTCTCTGGCAATTGATAATCGTTCTGCTGGCGATTTAGCATGAAATGTCGAACAACGATATAACTGATGAGGTTGAGAACATAATAAACATTTAAGCCTTGAAGGGGTTTCTTCAATTTTAAGGCTTATGGACGGCTTACTACGAAGATTATGATGGATTTTGGATTGATTAGACGTTTTCTCATTTGAGGTAAGCACCACTGACTCCAATGCCTTTGCCCGCTTTTCCAAGAAATCTCTTAATTGAACATATGTTGGGATTTCAATCGATGTATGCTCTGACTCAAATTTCGTTTTCGTAGCGACATTAAGCTTCAAAAGAAGAATGTTGAACAAGAGAAAATCCCATCCATCAACCGGAAAACCCAGCGCACGAAAACCCTCGACGTTTTCCTTGAACGTATCGATGAGAAATCTTATTGATTTTGATGATTCATCACGAATAGCCTTTAGGTTAAAAATCTCATTAAAATACAGCGTTGCTAAATGACGTTTATTGTGATACCTTTCCTTTAAGGTGTTATATGCAATCGAGTAGTTTTCGTTGGTGACAGGAAGGCCCTTTAGTAGATTGAAAGGTTCCCCTTTTAAAGGGGTTAGTAAATATTAATATTTTGCTATAGGTGATAAGGAGTCCTTTTCATGAATCAGGGTTCGGAATAAGTCACAGAAGGTCGGCCAATCTTTATGATTTCCGTCAAAAATTGGAATAGAAATTTTATTTAATTTGGGCGACGATGATGATGGAACTACTGTAGAAGGTGCGTTGGAGATTGGCTGAAGTTGATGAAAGATAGCCTTAACTGTAAAATAAGCCAAATCAACCTCTCGGCGAATATCGTCATGGGAATCGAAGTCGGTGTCATCGATGAGTCCGATGATCTGATTATGTATCGCCTTAAATTCTTTGTAAGTATCATCAGCATGTTTGGATTGTTCCAGAAATATTAAGCGTTCGGTTTGATCATCAGCGATACTGCGACCACTATCTCGTGCTTCATAAAGACGATTTTGAAGGACGTTTCGACGTAGCGTTAGTTTCGCAAGCTTCTCCATTTTTAAGAAAAATTGGAAGAATTGAGGAGAGGTGTAATGTGTAAATAAAATGTAAATATGTATATATAAGGACTAAGATAAGGAGAATATTAGGCAGCCAAGGACACAACGCCAAAAAAAAAGAAATAAAAAATAAATGCTTCCAAAAAAAATTCGAAAAGAGTAATATTCCACGGGGAATAAGTTCTCAAGGGAGAACAGAAAAAGTAAGAAAAAATTAAAAAGAATACCAAAAAATTCGAAGAAAAATATTCCATGGGGAATAAGTTCTCAAGGGAGAACCGAAAAAATTAAAAAGAATACCAAAAAATTCGAAAAGAAAAATATTCCACGGGGAATAAGTTCTCAAGGGAGAACCGAAAAAATGAGAAAAAATTAAAAATTCCAAGGGGAACAAAAGAAAACTGAAATTAATGATTAAACAGCAAAAGAAACAGAAAAATGGTTTTGCAGAGTGAACCGCGTTGAAAACGTGCATAAAATGGCGATCGACAACCGTGAAGAAAATCCGGCTCGAAGGACCAAATGAACACGCTAATAAAAATTAGATGTTCTTAAATTTTAAATCGGTGCTGATTCTAATTTATTATCGAAGGACCATAATGATGTAAATTGAAACAATAAATTTTAAAAGTTCTTACTCTGTCTTTATTACACGCGCGGTAACCGGTTCTCTTGCTCGACCCTTCAATCACAACGATAACAATTTGAAAGAGGGCGAGTTTAACGGTGTAATACAATTTATATACCGGCATACGTGGTGGGGGTGCGAAATACAAGTTACACAAGACAAAATTGAATTTAAAACGAAAGGTTTTATGCGGATCGGACACTATTCATGCATTAATTATCTATTGCATTACACAAATTGTGTCATTTGTCATTTCCCAAGTGGTTACATAAATAGCTATTTTTTGCCTTTAGTCCGTTTTATAACGTCTTATCACATCCTTATTACTTTCAGAGCATATCAGTGAAAACAAAAAAGGACAATTTTGATTCGTTGATTGGATGGCAAAAAAATATTTACCTTTTAATTTCTTCAATGACGAAGACACTCAAAATTTTTTTAGGGAAATATCTGGAGAGGATTTTCCAAAAAAAAGATAAATTGAGAAGATTAGCAATGTTACGATTCGACTGTCTAAATAAGAAAATGACTGACATGTTGATAGAAAATTCTTCGAAATTATCATTTACTATAGACGGCTGGACCTCTATCAGCGGCAGATCTTATTATGCAATTACAACACATTATATAGATGACAATTGGAAATTGCAATCTATCGCTCTAGATTTTCTTCCTGCCCATGGAAAACATACAGGAAAAGACATCGCTCTCACGTTTTTCAAATGTCATGTGATGTAATTAATCTGGTCGTGCAATATTTGTTTAAATCTTTGAAACTGAATTCTGAAGCAAATGAAGAATTGAGTGATGGTAGTGTCGATGAGGAAGATGAAGTTGAGGAAATTGAAGATAATTCTAATGCACTATGTAAAATACGTTCAGTCTTTTCGAAAATTGAACGGGTAAAGCAACTTTTAATTAAGTTTCGAAGTGCACGTGAACCAACTGGTAATTCTCGCCAATTGACATCTGTGTTGGATGGGCCTTCACGCTGGAATTCCAGTAATGATATGTTGAAAGTAAGTCTTGAAGGCAGACTTGGTGTATTGTGTCAAATATGTTGTTGATTTAAAACCAGATGCTCTTGAAGAAAAAGAATGGATAGTACTAGTAATTTATCGACTCAACTTTCAAATACTTTCCAAGAAACTCAGAGGAGGGAAGTACGTCACATTACCTATGGTTGTTGTATGTATCAATATACTAACAGATAATATTGAGAGCAAAACATTCGCATGGGACCAAAAGGCAGATTGAAACGCTGTCGAAGAGCAGCTTATTGTTAGTTTTGTATTGTTAGTTTAATTTTGTTTTAATTTTAATTTTTTTACAAAATATTAAAGCATTATCCTAAAGCTAATTGAATTTATGCTGCAGTTTTAATTCTTGATCCGAGGCATAAGATAGAAGATTTTGATATGACAAGATGGGGCCAAGAATTAAAAGCGACTTCGATTCAGAAGTTTGAAAACGTTCGAAAGTAATGGCATTGGAGGAACGAGAAGATTCTAGAGCGGAAAAATCGGATTTTGTAATTGATTTTGATGTTTTGTATGCAGTAAATCCATTCTCCTTCCGAAGGAGAGTTTACGCTTATGAATTAGGTCCAACTTTTTTCTCCAATATATTTAGTCGCGAATTTATACTGTTTTCCATATCAAGTCTGGAGCATATACCACACGAATAAATAAATTGAATTGAAATATTATGAATTGAATTTTAAAGATAACGTGTTTAAAGGTTTTTACCGTATTGTTGTTAAAAATAGAAATTAATAACAATTGTTTTTTATAAACATAGTAATGAATAACTTAGTAACATTAAAAGGTATTTTGATTCGCTGATAGCTCATTACAACTATTCCCCCTTTGTATGAAAAAGAACATTTAATGAATTGTATATAAATTTAAATTAGTCGAAATTAAAATGAACATGCGAATTAGTTCGAATTTGGTTGGTCCCTAAAAGGTTATTGAATTGTCAAAAACGTTTGGATTCAAATTGCATGTCATAAATATAATGTAAATATAATAAGGTAAGTATAATTTTTTTTAATTTTTATTTATGTGTGCGTAACGGATATAGGCGATAAAAAGATTATAAACAGTTTCTGGAAAAATTCCTGAAATGGGTCTAAAGATTTAAGTTTGTTGCAATATTTTGGTGTAGATCTCAATTTTTTCCCACCATTTTTAAACAAGTTATGACGTCATCGATATTTTTTTCAAATCCTCCATTCTTATTACGGAATCTGAAAGAGGATCTTTTTATGGTGAGAGTATTTTCTCTCTAGTACACCCAATATTAATATTGGTTACATTAGAAAATTTGGAAGAAGAATTACTTTAAAGATTAACTTCTTCAAATTTGTTTGACATGATCAAAATAGCTGCTGCTATTTTACTGCTACATGACTAACTATGGTAACCAATAATTTTTAACAATTTCTTAAATGGTTAGGCGCCATCTTGTTAGAAAAACTGTCATTGAAATTCAGGTGAGACAACAATATGATATCGTTTTGAAAAAATCTAAACATCTCCCTCCAATTAAGGTTTCCTCAAACAGTAAAGACTCAGGACAGTATCCCGTACTATTTCGCTCCACACATTGATCTTTTACGGATGTTAGGTGTGCGACTTTCTTGCCTAATGTGGATTTTGAGTAGCCCAATACCGATAGTTTTGTCTATTTACTTGTCCACTCAATGTGAATGTTCCTTCGTCGAAAAAAATATGCTTTTGACAAAGTCTTAGTCATCATAGCAAAATTGTTATTGGAAAAACTACAACTCATTGCTCGTGAATGAGGTTTACTTTACAGGAATAATATTTTGCTGCTTTTAAAATTTTATGAACCGTTGATTTACTAATATTCAAATNGAAAAGGTATATTCTTTAAATGATCATAAGCCTTCTGAATGGATTCATATGTTCTCTGATCTGAGCAGATGTTAGAGGTAATCACAGCATCAAAATCAAAAGAAATCTGAGAGTCATTACATGGCTGAACGTTGCATTTAATTGTTCCCTTATTGCAGAGGGATGACATGGAGTTCAGTCCTCGGATTTGTAACAAAGAATTTCGGGTACGAGGCAAACCCAATTTTCTGGCAAGTTTGGCGGTGACAAAATTAGACATACTGCCTGAATCAATTAGTGCACGAACAAGGTGTAATCTGTCAAATTGATCCTTGACGTACATGAAAGCGATCGGTAAAATTACTTGGTGGTTTAAGTCATTGTTCGGTTGATTAACATGACAAGCCGTAGTTCCGACGGGGACTGGTGATGGTTTACTTGATTCGAAATGCAGAGAGGTATGATGTTTTTGCTGGCAAACTTTGCAACGATGCGTCGATACACAGTTACTGGTCTGGTGAGATTTATTAAGACAGTTACGACATAGGTTGTTGTCTCTGGCAATTGATAATCGTTCTGCTGGCGATTTAGCATGGAATGTCGAACAACGATATAACTGATGAGGTTGAGAACATAATAAACATTTAAGCCTTGAAGGGGTTTCTTCAATTTTAAGGCTTATGGACGGCTTACTACGAAGATTATGATGGATTTTGGATTGATTAGACGTTTTCTCATTTGAGGTAAGCACCACTGACTCCAATGCCTTTGCCCGCTTTTCCAAGAAATCTCTTAATTCAACATATGTTGGGATTTCAATCGATGTATGCTCTGACTCAAATTTCGTTTTCGTAGCGACATTAAGCTTCAAAAGAAGAATGTTGAACAAGAGAAAATCCCATTCATCAACCGGAAAACCCAGCGCACGAAAACCCTCGACGTTTTCCTTGAACGTATCGATGAGAAATCTTATTGATTTTGATGATTCATCACGAATAGCCTTTAGGTTAAAAATCTCATTAAAATACAGCGTTGCTAAATGACGTTTATTGTGATACCTTTCCTTTAAGGTGTTATATGCAATCGAGTAGTTTTCGTTGGTGACAGGAAGGCCCTTTAGTAGATTGAAAGGTTCCCCTTTTAAAGAGGTTAGTAAATTGATATTTTGCTATAGGTGATAAGGAGTCCTTTTCATGAATCAGGGTTCGGAATAAATCACAGAAGGTCGGCCAATCTTTATGATTTCCATCAAAAATTGGAATAGAAATTTTATTTAATTTGGGCGACGATGATGATGGAACTACTGTAGAAGGTGCGTTGGAGCTTGGCTGAAGTTGATGAAAGATAGCCTTAACTGTAAAATAAGCCAAATCAACCTCTCGGCGAATATCGTCATAGGAATCGAAGTTCGTGTCATCGATGAGTCCGATGATCTGATTATGTATCGCCTTAAATTCTTTGTAAGTATCATCAGCATGTTTGGATTGTTCCAGAAATATTAAGCGTTCGGTTTGATCATCAGCGATACTGCGACCACTATCTCGTGCTTCATAAAGACGATTTTGAAGGACGTTTCGACGTAGCGTTAGTTTCGCAAGCTTCTCCATTTTTAAGAAAAATTNCAAAAATAACTTAAACGTTACGCAATAAATTACTTAATAAATACGCAATTAAACAAATATAAAATTTAATAATCGGTAAAATTAACAAATATAGTATTTGCATTACGATACACATGCCAGTAGTTATAACTGTAATAACAATCGTTAATATATTCAAAATCGGTTAAATTAATATCACCATCAATAATTAATTTAGCTGATTCGCAATTGGGAAAGTATCCATTATCTTTTAAGAAATCTTAAAATTTTTAATGATTTTCAAAGTCATCATCACTACCAACATACAGAATATCACCCTTTCGATAAACTCTCCATATATTATTATCAAATTCCCAAAACTGTACAAATTGCGAATCGGTCATTTTATCACCGTCAGTGTCTTCTATTCCTAGAAGTACGAAATCAAGCTGGACAATTTCCTCTGGGAAATTTGTGTTTAACCCTCCGGTGGGCGCACCTGTCGGACTTACACGAATAGGCGCGTTGCGGCTTTTACACCGCAATTGAATATTTAGTGGTTTCACTGGTAACGTTTGTAAAATTTTGGTTCTATGAAAGAAATGAGCATTAATTTTGTTGCTTTATATTTAATTATATAAAATTGGTAATTGAACACTTTTGACAACCTTAACAATACTAATTAAATTAATATGCTTTCATCAGCTTGTTTTCACTTCTAAAAATATTTTCAATAGAGTTTTTGATTTTTTTTTTCCTTTTGACCTGGTTTGAAAATTAATCTATTTCCATTTGCTGCTCACCATCGCACCTAATACATTTTGTATTTGTGACACTATGCTTCTTGCAAACATTTAAACTGCAATTTTGACACACTGATTTTGTCCTATTGTTCTTATGCCTACCACAAATGTAACAAATTCTTGGTTTTGCTGGTTCTTGGGGCTGCTCTTCATTGTTTGCATACTTTTGCAAGAAAGCCGTAATATCTTTAGGAAGAGTTTTTAGTGATGCTCTTTGTTTCAAATGTTCTTCCATCAAATCAAGTGCAAGATGTTTCAAAAAATGGCGCCTTCTTTGTTCTGTCATTTCTGGGTTGTTAAATTTGAAAATAACATTGGCATCAATACCAGCAATGTCGATATGTCTGTAAAATAGAGCAAGTGGCCAACGTCTAGTTATTCTAGAAGTGGAGTAAACTGAGCACATCTGATCAACGGTGTCTATGCCTCCTTTAGTCGCATTATAATCCAAATTGATTATAGATTTCTTACATTCCTGGTCTATATCAGGTGTACTATGCATCGTTAAAAGGAAAATCACTGTCCTATTCCTCTTAGGCACGGTTGAAGACAAACAGAAGTCATATTGGAAACCAAAAAGAGATGATTTGACATCTCTATTTTTGTTTTCCAAGAATTCTGGAGGAATTTCTTTCTTGTTCTTTTTCATAGTACCTAAAAATGTCAATCCTTTCTCCAGTAGTTTTTCTGCAAGGTGGTAGCTACTATGATAATTATCAGTGGTGAGATATTTTTTGTTTTCTCTATAGGTTCAATTAGCCTTGTCACAATATCTTCAGGCTTATTTGATTTTACATAGGGTCCGGGCAATTGCTTTCCACAATAAACTTCAAAGTTTAGTGTGTAAAATGTCTTTGCGTCACAAAGAGCAAAAATTTTGAGTCCATACTTCGCAGACTTGTTAGGAATATATTGTACAAACCCACAGCGACCTCTGAAAGGATGAAGCATTTCATCAATAGTCACAAACTCACTTACGTTGTAATAGGCAATGCAGTTGTTGACAAATTTGTCTAAATGTTCTGAATATTGTCTTACCTTTTTATATTCGAGACGCACACACTTTAACGAAAAAGAAGGATGAGATTAACACTGTTTTTATAGAAAAATGTATTGAGAATTCACTTTTACAGAGAACATTGACATATGTTGAAAAAGCTACGAATTGATAATTGTTGACAAAAAAACAACACGAAAAAACGGCCATGGATACCTAAGGTAACGAAAAGTACAAAAACCCGACTACTTAAAAATAATAATTAAATAACAGTGCGGAGCGAACACCTTGTTTCAGCAATTAATACATACAGGTGCGTTTTGTTTCTTCCTGCAATTCTTATAGTCGTGTACCGTCTTTGCACAATGCCCATACACCACGTCTGACTTGCAGAACCTCTTCAAGTGGCTGTACCCCTAACACTTAAAACACCTTTAAAATCAACAAACTGTACTACACGACGCGTCTGTAGTTTAACGAATACTCTCCCGAATCTAAGCAACTCCTTTCGCACCCGATCAAAGACCTCCAACACTAGATTCGTCACCTCTCTGTCCCTCCTCCCAGTATTCTCGCCTCGTTATCCACGTTCTTTACCCATAATTGTTGCAGCACCGTACCCTCTTCATTCGTCCTGTCCAAATCATACACAATTACATTAGGGCGCATGGTTGTGGGGGCTCGGATGGTGACTCCCGATCAGTTCATCTTTTCCTCTATAATTTGCAACCTCCATCAGTACTCTCTTACCTTTTAGCTTCGCAACTCTCCGAAACATTACCTCTTTTCAATCTTCTCCCTTCTCCAAAGTCTTTACAATAGTATCCTTCAGCTCCCCACTGTCCGACACCTCCTTACCATCCGTGGCACAATGAAAAGTTTAACATAGAGCGAAGCTAGGAACTCCCAGAAGTGAGCCGACAAAAAAACGTCAGTTTCTATATTTTATCAGCACAAATATTTTCGTATGGAAAATTTTGCTATCACTTTCAGTTTTTCCGGAAAATGGATCAACAAAGTTGATATAAATTATTATAAATGTTTTTAAATATAACACACAGTATATTATGGTATCTTCCGAAAGATGAAAACAATACGAATCCAACGGTACCTCACAATCAAATATCGGTTTATTAAATGACACAACCAGAAGGTGGGATATTACCATTATATGTTAAGGCTGTTCAACCGCTAAGAATTTTTATATGTAATCTTTCAAAGAATATATCTCGGTTAATATTAGAACAAAATGCATGACTTTTCTTTTTCTGCTTTGAAATCAGGAAACGGTACTCTAGTGGGCACGCATGCCCATTTATTTATTTTAAAAAAATACAACAATTAAATTATTTAAATACGCATAAATTGTATCATTAGCGAAAAAATAATATGCCTGCCCTCTAGAGAAGGTTTCATATAGTATCCATGCAAAATTTAAAAAAAAGTTAGTGTAGTTTAGTTATAGCAACTCAGTTACGATTTTTATAATTATAAATTATTTATTTCTATAAACTTTTTCTTATTTATTTATGAACCATTTTTTTAGTTATAAACAAAAATAATTTAGTAAGTATACTGTAGTTATAGTAACTGAGTGATTACTGCTCTTATAAACTCTTAGTGTTTTGTGCTTGTGGGTTATTTGTGGATAAAATGGGCCGAGAAAGACGGTATTTTTGTTCGATTACTACGTCACGTAAACGGTAATTAATTTGAAATTTTTGTATACCGATATCCTTTGAATCAATTAGATATATGTTTTTTTTACTTGTAGTCTTGGTAAGTTGCGGTGGATGAACCGCGCTTCTCGCAGGATGATAGTAATGTTAACAATTTTGATTGGTAATTATTTTTTAGAAAATCTTTACCACAGGTGTCTTATAACATATGGGCATCCTTTTGATAACAGAAACATTATGTAAAAATAACATCATATATAATATACAACAACACTTTTTTGACACGATTGACCGAGATCTAATGATGTATTAATACAGATAATAAGATAAAATGTTGTACATTGTTGTACTAAATTAAATTACTAACTATTCTTAATTTACTATTGCAATTTACAAAATTGTAGCAAACTAGTTTGAATAATAACAGAGATATGATCAAAAAATACTTCTCGTATTAAAATATAATTTATTTTCTGTTTATTTTTACATACCTAACTAGATTACTCCTAAATGCTGCATATTCTGGGACACCTGTATAATTACTAGATATAATAATATAAATAATATTTATAACACTATGATATATTATTTTGCAGCGAACTAGATACAGTCACTTTACCAAATTTAGAAATAGACCAACCCAATTGCGATGCCAATGTTAATAACAATCATAACATTAGCGAAAAAAGAATTGTAGATATTACATCATTTTGGAATCAAATTAAAGAAATACAACATGTAGCATCATTCAATTGTATTATAGATATATGCGACATTGTAAAAGAAAGGCAAATCGGTTGCGAAATCTATATTCACTGTTAAATGTAAAATGTGTGGAATGACATCTAAAATAGAAATGAACGGCAATAAAAATGAATTAGATGTCAATACTTCAGCAATAATTGGTGAGACTACTTGCATAATTCAAATAAATATGCATTTAAATACTACTGTAAATATGTTTATATTTTGATGTATTTTAACAGGAATAGTTTCCATTGATGCTGGATACTCTCAGCTAAGAGAACTATGTGCCACATTAAATTTATCACACATGACGCAACGTCGATTCACGACAATCCAAACTAAATTACAGGAGGTTGTTGAAGATGTTCTTTCAAATAAATTAAAGGAAGCTGGGAAAGAAGAAGCAAAAGCAACAATTTACCAAACAACCTTTTGTACCTTATAAATGTTTTAAAAATTGGATTGGTCCATCCACTGGCATAGAATCCGATATAATTGTTGACGGATTCAAAAATACTGTGTCTGTACATGGTTTGAAGTACATCAAATTAATTAGAGACGGTGACAGTAGTGTTACCAAAAAATTAAATTTCTCAAAGCCATACGGCACGCTTCTAATAGAAAAAGTTGAGTGCATCAACCACTTATTACGCAATTTTAGTACTAAATTACCTGAGCTGTCTAGAAAAGTGCGCTCTACCGGAAAATATGTAGCACTGCACGTTCGGAGGCAGCTCCACAGCAACATCTTGAGATTTCGAGTAGCTGTAAGAAAATCTGCCGAGTACAGAAGTAAGCAAG